TGTTGTTTGTTTGTTGTTTGTTGTTTGTCGTTTGTAAGTTTGTAACTCCACGCGGCATGTGTTATTATGTCGCGTATCCCGTCGTGTATGACCTTGAGACTATACTGTTGTAACGCATTCGCCCCACCCCGCTCACCAATCATAGAGAACAATATTTTCCAACCCGTAGACGCGCGCTTATCATCAATTATATATATATATATAACAAATTTTTATTGTAATTGACACAGCCCCGCGTCGTTTTACGACGCGGTGCAAAGTCCAGCAAGTGCCGCACGGCCGACGACGTCCCGCCGCTATACCGTAGTCTTCTTCCCATTGTCAAAATAACATCGTCAACAAACTGATCCGCACTCGCGCACCGTCGTCATCTACGCTGCTAACCTATTGACGCCCGAGGATCACGCCGGACATCGCGTCTTCGACGCCAGCAAAAGTGCCGCGATATTATGCGAAGATTATATATTCCTACCGCCACCGCTAATATTAATATATATATATATATATATATATATTTATACGTATATACGTATATGTTAATATTCATTTATATATTCCTACAGCCGACGCCTCTGCCGCCGTATATGCCTCGTGTATAATGTTCCCTCCGCCATGCCCGCCCACATAAACACGGCTATACCTCATGCATGATACGTTTACGTACTTAAGTCCCTTTAAATATATATATATTCTAATTACTATTAAAACTTATATATTAATACACTTTATTCTCATTAAGAGATATGTAGTGTATTCATTCCGATTACGGAGGATGATTCTCGTATCGTTATTTTTCGTCACTACCTCCACGTTACGCGCCTGCTGCTTTCCTTGGATGTGGTAGCTGTTTCTTAGACTCCCTCTCCGGAATCGAACCCTTATTTCCCGTTACCCGTTACAACCATGATATTGATATTAACTACTATCATAACATGAAACTAAAAAGTGAAAAATAAATATAATTTTAAAAATTATTTTTAACTTTTTAGTTCGATGTGCTTTAAAAGCGTGTTTTTTAGTTTTTTTTAACTATATTTTATTAGTTTCACTTGTATGTGTGATGTGTGATGTGTGTTTGTAACTTTCCACGCGGCACGTGTTTTTATTCTCGCGTATCTCGTCGTCTAGACTAGACGTCATAACGCATTCACCCCACCCCGCTCACCTTTCGCCGACAACACTAATCCTGTATAATGTTATATTTTTGGTATTCGTACCCGTACACGCGTGCGTGTCATCAATTATATATACGCCTTACGTATATATATTTATATATTCCTACCGCCGCTGCCACCGTTTATACCTTAGGTAAAACGTACTTCCCACCCACAAAACAAAGCTATACCTAGTGCATGATACGTTTACGTACTTATGTCGCCTTAATATATATATGTAAGTATGTATGTGTATATATTTATATATATTCCTACAGCCGCCACATATGCCTCGCGTACAACGTTACCCCGCGCGCCGCCCGACCACAAAATACAGCTATACCTTGTGCATGATATTTTTACGTACTTAAGTCGCTTTATATATATATATATATCTAATTAATATTAAAAATATATATTAACACGCTTTATTCTCATTAAGAGATATAGAGTGTATTCATTCCGATTACAAAGGATGATTCCCATATCGTCATTTTTCGTCACTACCTCCAAATTCCGTGAGTGGATAATTTACGCGCCTGCTGCTTTCCTTGGATGTGGTAGCCGTTTCTCAGACTCCCACTCCGGAATCGAACCCTGATTCCCCTTTACCCGTTACAACCATGATATTGATAGTAACTACTATCATAACATGTAACTAAAAAGTGAAAAATAAATATAGTTTAAAAAAACTAAAAAACACGCTTTTAAAGAACATCGAACTAAAAAGTTAAAAATAATTTTTAAAATAAGCGTAAAACAATAATGAACGAAAAGTACTAGTATTATTGTGAT